GATGAAAGACCTAAACTTAAGAGCTAACACTGTAAAATTCTTAGAAAAGAAATTAGGGAAAATCTTCATGACACTGGATTTGGCAACAATTCCATGGATAGGACACCAAAAACACAGACAACAAAAGAAAAAATAAATATATTGGATTTTATCAAAGTTAAAAACTTTTGTGCTTCTAAGGATACTATGAAGAAAGTAAAACGTCAACTTACAGAATAGAAGAAAACATTTGCAAATCATATATTTGACAAGGGATTGATATCCAGAATATATAAAGATCCCCTACAATTCAACAACAACAATAAAACAAACAACAACAAAACCCGAGTGAAAAATGGGCAAAGGACCTAAATACACATTTCTCCAAAGAAGATATTTGAAAGGCCAACCGGTACATGGAAAGATGCTCAACATCGCTAGTCATTAAGAAAATGCAAGTTAAAACCACAATGAGATATCACTTCATAAGTGTGTTAGAATGGCCATCACCAAAAAGACAAGGGGTTAACAAATGTTGGTGTGGATGTGGAGAAAGGGGAACCTGTGTGCACAGTGGATGAGAGTGTAAATTGTTGCAGCCACTATGGAAAATAGTATGGAGGAACCTCAAAAAATCAAAAATAGAACTATCATATGATCCACTTCTGGGATTATATCCAAAGGAAATGAAGATACTAACTTGGAAAGACATCTGCACCCTCATGTCCACTGCAGCATTATTTACAATAGCCAAGACATAGAAACAACCTAAGTGTCCATCGATGGATGAACAGATAAAGAAGTTGTGGTGTATATAAATACATAATGGATATCATTCATCCATAAAAAACAAGGAAATCCTACCATCTGCCACAACACAGATGAACTCAAAGGCATTAAGCTAGGTGAAATAAGTCAGACACAGAAAGACAAATAATGTGTGATTTCAACTTATCTGCAGAATCTAAAAAAACAAAAACAAAAACACAAAAAACAAAACTCAGAAAGAGAGCAGATTTGTGGTCACCATAGGCAGAGGGTGGGGGGAGAGGAAACTGGAGAGAGTGGTTAAAAGATACACACTTGCGGTTACAAGATAAATGCGTCCTAGGGACGGGAGGTACAATGTGATGACTCTAACTAACACTACTATATGATATACAGGAAACCTGTTAAGAGAGTAGGTCCCAGGAGTTCTCGTCACAGAACTTTTTTTTTCCTTTTTTCTTTCCTTCTTTTCTATTTATTGTATTTTTATGAGAAGACGGATGTTAGCTAAACCTACTGTGATAATCATTTCACAACATATGTAAATCAAACCATCATGGTGTCATGCCATAAACTTATATATTCATGTATGTCAACTATTTCTCAATAAAACCAGGGGAGATAAACCAACAAAATGGGGTCAAGGAAGCCACAACAAGATACCACTTCATACCCACTAGGATAACTATTCAAAAAAAGGGAAAATGATGAGTGTTGGCAAGGATGTGGAGAAATGGCAACCCTCACACACTGCTGCTGGTGGGAATGTAAAAGAGTGCAGCCACTGGGGAAAACAGTTTGGTGGTTCCTCAAAAAAGTTAAACATAAAACTATCACATGACCCAGCAATTCCACTCCTAGGTATAGACCCAAAGAAACTGAAAGCAGGGACTTGAATAGCTATTTGTACACCAAGGTTCATACAGCATTATTCACAATAACCAAAAGGAAACAAGCCAAGTATTTATCCGCAGATGAATGGACAGACAAAATAAGGTATATACACGCAACAGAACACTATTCACTATGAAGGAGTGACATCTGACACAGGCTACAACATGGATGGGCCCTGAAAGCATTACACTAAGGGAAATAAGCCAGACACAGAAAACCAAATACAGGATTCCATTTCTATAAGGTACCTAGAATAGCCAAAATTAAAGAAAGAGAAAGCAGAATAAAGGCTGCTGGGGGTGGGGGAGGAGAGGGGAGGAGGAAAGGGGGAGTTCTTGTTAAACGGGTATAGAGTTTATGTTGCAGATTCTGAAAAAGTTTTTGGCATAGAGAGTGGTGATGGGCACACAGCTTTGTGAATTTTTTTAATTTTTTTTTATTTTAAAGATTTTTATTTATTTATTTGTCAAAGAGAGAGAGAGCACAAGCAGGATGAGCTGCAGGCAGAGGGAGAAGCAGGCTCTCTGCTGAGCAAAGAGCCCAACGCCAGATGCAGGACTCTATCACAGGACCCCGGGATCTTTGTGAGTGTATTTAATGCCAGTGAACTGTATATTTGCAAACGGGTAAAATAATAAATATTATGTTATGCAGATTTTACTACAATCAAAGTAATGTGGAGGAAAAAGGGGGGGTAATATGATACACAGTGAAAAGATAGGAATGAAATAAACCCAAATGTCAGCAGCTATTCTGAGAAAAGAAATCTTTGGGGGGCTTCTTCTTTCTTTTAATCATTTTTCTCTATTTTCCAATTTTCTTTCAATTGCTCTTTGGATGGGAAAAAATAAGTTATGTTTTTTAACAGGTTTCATGTTTTCAGGTTTTGATACGTACATAATTCGTCAGTCCAAATTTTTCCTTTTTAGGTAGAAAGTTTCTTCGCATTTGGAGCAGCATTTACAAAAGACTCACTTCACAAGGGGCCCTAAGGAAAGGAAATGGTCACTTAAAATAATTTAAAGTTCTCTGCTGCACAGAGGTGAAAGCTAATGTTCTCTTACAACCTGGCCTGGCCCGGGGGCCCTTGAACCCGTTGGCTACAACCCATCAGTGGGCAATCCCTTCCAGTATGGGGGTTGTTCTCTCTGCCCTCTGGGCACTGAATGAGGACAGAAGAGGTTTCAGGGGGACAATTTCCCCTGGATGTGTGATAAAGTCCATAATTTGACCTTTAAGCAATAAATTAAAATAGAAATAGTAATTTAAAATGCAAAGTGAGAATCTGCCTTAAATTTAACCACTCAAAATAATTAGTATTAATTCACCCTTAAAAGTATCCCAAGCCCTTCCCAGAAGGTCCCATTTATATAGCAAATGATACTGGCTTTGTACTGGATTTTTATGCAGGAGTCCAAAGGACCTGTTCTCCCCTTTCTGACAAGTAAATAAAACGGCAGGGAGATCAAATAACTCACTAAAAAGAAGATATAATTTTTTATCTTCCTTTTTACAGTCTCATATCCACTTCCGTTGGGAATAACAAAGTCTGAATTCTTATGCAACACTTATCTAAATGTGTCGATTTTATCGGATTGATGAATTTTGCTAACAAAAGGCAGCGCTAGGAAATCTTTTATGACATATTTGGCCCATTCACAGGCCTGGAGCTTTAATTTAACCAACTTGAGAATTCTGAGGGAGAGCTGCAGGTGTTGGATCTGAAAAAAAAAAATCATAAATGGGAAGGCATATCAATCTTTATGACGGGGAAACAAAAACACTCTCTACTTGCTTGCCCTCCACAGGCAGGAGAAGGAGAGGTGGAAGGAGCAGGATATTGTCTCGGGCTGCATAGCAAAGAGAAAGCATCGCTGTCTCCCAGTGACCGCTATTTAGTATTGATCAAAAGGCGCTGGCCCGGAGAGGAAGAGAGGAATTGATAAAACAATGAGGTTTGCCAACACTCTGTGCTCAACAAGGACATTTTCTCATTTTCTTGACCACATCAGAGTAAGTCACTCCTGCGGCTGCCTGAGCGAGTGGGCAGCTCTCTGTCCCCCATCCCTCCTACCACCCCCGAGGCTGCCCAGCAGCACTGCCACCTTGCTACCCCCATGGATGGTAAGCAGAGTCAATCACTTGACAAGGCCTGTTGCTTCTCCTGTTAAAGGTCTCCCCAGGTCAGCCTCCCCTCCCTCCACAGCCTTAACGCAGACCACATTTCTCTCCCTGGGAACACCACCACGCTGCCTCCCCCTGTCTGTTCTCCCCCTGGATCCTCGTCACCAAGCCATCCTTCCACCTGCCGCCAGCCATCTCTGGATGGGAGAACCTTTCAGCCACTTCCTTGCACAAACTCATTAAGACTCCCTACTTTCCGCAAGGCAAAATCATAAACGCGTTGGTGTGAAATACTACGACAGTCCTTTGTGATTCTGTCTTTCCCAGTCTCCCCTCCAACAGCAAAGTCTGTCCATTCATCCATCCATCCATCCATCTATCCATCCATCCATCCATCCAATTTTATAGGCCTCTGAGACAGAAACATCCAGTCGTCCACCAAAACCAATCTCCACTGGGGCGCCTGGGTGGCTCAGCCGTTTAAGCGTCTGCCTTTGGCTCAGGTCATGATCCCGGGGTCCCGGGATTGAGTCCCACCTCAGGCTCCCCGCTCAGCGGGGAGTCTGCTTCTCCCTCTGCCCCTCCCCCTGTTTGTGCGCTCTCACTCTCTCTCTCTCTCTCTCTCTCTCTCTCTCTCTCAAAAATAAATAAATAAATATTAAAAAAAACCCAAAAACCCAATTTCCCCCTTTTGATAACCGAATTGCAGCTAAGCAGATGGTGAGGGGATCCATTTCCCGGGCTCTCTGACACCACGGCATGCGTGACATGAGCAGGTAGGACTGAGTCCTCCCTCACCCACAGAATCCTTCGGAAGGGTGTGTGTCCCTTCTAGGTCCAGGCATTCCTGACACACTGGACCCTCCTGCGAACATGAACGCAGTAGTGCCCATGCCTGGCTTTGACCACATGGACAAGGACACACCCTACAGTAGAAGGGCAGCAAGATGGAGGAAGCCTGGGTTTCCGAATGCTGTGCAGAGAAGAACCCCCTCCAACCATTCACATTAGGAAATTACCTAGAAAATCAACTTCTGGATTCCTTATGCTTCTGTGTTTTTTGGTCTCTTGCAACAGTATCTTAGCCTTTACCCTTGATGAGAGTAAATGCCAGGCAAGATCCCACTTATTAGGACCCACGGCTGACACCTGCCTGCCCAATCTGTGTTAATGAAATGACCTGTGCCCCAGGGCCAGCTTATACAAGTGGATACTCTACTCATCAACAAACCTACTTGGTGTTCTCCAGGGTCCTCTGCATTTTCTTGGTCATTTTATCAATCGCTGCCTGTCTCTTCCCTTCAGCCAAGAGGTCTATTTTGTTCAGCACCACAACCAGCTTCTGGCAGGCAATCTGCCCAATCACAAGGCACTCCGCTGACTGGGTCTGCATCCCTTTGGTCACATCAATGACCAGCATCATCAGATCAATGATCTGGGCCCCTGCAAGGAGAGAGAGAAGACAAGGTTAGAAAGGGAAATGGGGGAGAGGACTCTGCAGAAAGTGGCCTGATGTTTGAGGTTAAGCAAAATCAGCCAAATTAAAGTATTAAGATAAAAGTGGTTGGGGTGGGAAATGAATGACCACCACACACCTTCTAGCCCCGGCCGCGGGGGAGGGACTCTGACCACGTGATTTCACGGGAGCCCTCATGACTAACCACCATGAGGGATGGACGTGTTACCTCATCTGGAGAGGAGGAAACTGAGGCCCGTGAAATACAGAGAGCTCGCCCAGAGCCCCACTGCCAGCATGCAGCAGAGCTGGGGGACCCCAAAACCCACACCATTTTATTGCCTCAATCTTCTCATTTTCATTCCATCCTACCTAGGAAATAATGTCCAAGCAGCAAATATCTCAGTTTTAGACTTGGCAAATGCCTAGAGATCTGGCCTTGCCAAGAGAGCAGACAGAAAGACCAGAAAACTGACGTGGAGGCCGGAGGTTGTCCCCTCTGTAGCTCCCGGGTCTCCTCCTCACAGTGGCTGGTTTTCGTCATGACCCTCCCACCCACAGCTGCACTACAGCCACTCACTCCTCTTGTCCTTTCCATTCTGGGGGGGAAGCTCCTGCTCTTTCAGGAAGGCTAGGAACAATCCAAGGTTCAGCTACCTCAACTGAATACCATATATGTAAGTGTGTGTGGGTGTCTCCATACATACATGTGTGTGCATGTGTACATATAGGAGTGCTGTGTGTGTGTGTGCATTCCGTATTACACATGCATGCCTGGTTGTGAGCATGCCCTAAATACACAGCCACACCTGAGCTGAACAACAGCAGAGGGACAAATTACAGAGGAGTCAATGAAAGGAAACTGCCCTGACCCATGTTAGGAAGACTAATGTTAGCCAGTGAAGGGAATGTGTCCTTTTTAATAGGATTTTTAAGTAGTTTCACAAAAAAAAAAAAAGAAAGAAAGAAAGAAAGAAAAGGTGTTATTTTGGGGATACAGGAATATGCAGATATTTTCCCCTTTGCCCCAGAAGGGATTTTCAGGACCAAATTATCCTCATGGTGATACCAAGGAAGACTGCTCTATGGGTGACTCATGACCCAAGCTCACTCCTGGGAAAGGAGGGAAGGTGAGGAGGGGCAGTCTTTCCTGTTGGCACATTCGCCTTGTGCGCTAGTCAACCACTTAATCTCCACAACCACTGTTTCAAAGAAGGTGGGACTCAGAGTCACAGGGCTACTTGCTCTAGACCAACTAGCACCAAAGGCCACCAGACACCAGGGAGCCTGGCTCCACTACTGAAGCACTCTTCCCTGGTCACCACTGACCTGCACAGCGACTCCGACCTCCCCGGGGAGAAAGAGTAGGTGTCTGGCTCTAGGTAGGACTCAGAGTGTCCCCGCTGTCCTTCTTGCCCCTGTGCTCTGCCCTCCCCGGCCCTTTCTTCTACCTCACCCTGGGCCAGGGACAGAGCAGAGCTGTAGTCAATGGGGCCTGGAGGGGCAGGCGGGTGCTCACAGCCATCAGCATTGGTATCTCCCTCATCCTACCAGGCAGTAGGGCCTAGGCCTCTGCTACAGCTATAAGAGGGGCAGGAGGGAGGTATAACTGGTTCTATCACCTACACCTTTTAAACAACTGAGGCCTAAAAACTTCACCACCTGATAAGACTCCCTCTCATATCTACCAAATCACCAACTCACCTCTGGGATCCATCTCTGTTGCAGCCCCAAACCCCGTAACGCACGTCAGGCCCACATCAGCTGCTCCCTAATGGGAAAAGACTTGTCTTTCACCTGGGACTTGTCCCTCTGAAATCCAAACAGCCTCCCAGAAGGAACTTTCTACAACTATATGACTGATTCATACACTGAGACAGGTTAAATCAGTACAACCTCTATGAAAGTCAATTCAGAAACAGCTATCAGAATTCACATTGTCTTTGACTCAGCCAAGCCCACATACATGTTCATGCTTGTTGTAGGTACAGTTGGAAAACATGTAAATGTCCATCAGTAGGGGACATGTTGAAAATAAATAATGCTACATCCATGCAGTAGAACACTCTCCAGCCATGAAAAAGAATGAAGAAGCTCTTTATTTACTACTGTGGAACAGTCTCTAAGGTGGAGCGAGTGAGAAGAACAAAGGGCAGAGCAATGTAATCTGTGTTTAAAAGGGGGAAAAGGTGTGTGTGTGTCTATGTGTGCTGTATCTGAGTGTTTGCTTCCATATGCATAAAACATGTCTGAAGGAATGCAAAAGAAACAACTAACTTTTGGTTGTCTGTTGAGAGAGTAGCTAGGTGACAGATATGGGATGGAGTTAGAAGGAAACCTGACTGCATGTTCTTACGTACCTTTTTTTTTTTTGAAGATTTATTAATTTGAGAGAGAGTGCACACGCACATGAGTGGGGCGGAAGGGCAGAAGGACAGAGAGAGAATTTCAAGCAGACTCCCTGCTGAGCATGGAGCCTGATGTGGGACTCGATCTCATGACCCTGGGATCATGACCTGAGCTGAAATCCAGAGCCAGACGCTTAAACGACTGAGCCACCCAGGTGCCCTCTTCCATATCTTTTAATTTTAAACAGAGGTGTATACTGTCCAGACATAAATAAAATCAAGTACATAGCTAGATAAAGAAATAAAACACTGATCTAACTGTGTTGTTCCCCTGCTAAGAGCCCTCGCTGTCCTCTTACTGAAAGGGAACTCGTGGTGTGGCTTTGGGCCCCTCCTTCTAACTCGCAGTCCAGACACACTCTCCCTGCACCGAGCATGTAGGTGCACCTCACAGAGCCCTTCCTGGTGCTCCCTGCCCTGCCCCAGGGGCATATGCATGCCTGTGAGAACGCGCGCGCGCGCACACACACACACACACACACACACACACACACACAGAACCTGAGCCCAGCCCACCCCAGAAGATGTGATCTCTCTTCATGTCCTCCCACCACAAGCAAACCCGTCATCAGTCACAAGGATGTGTGGCCAGGTGTTGAGGCAGGATGGGAGGATGGGACCAAGACTGCAGGTGAGTGGGAGGAGGAGTGCCCTGGGTTCCCAGCCTGTGAGCCATTCTCTGGGAAGACTGGAGAGCCACCTTCACACAAAACGGTCCCAGTGCCCGACCAGGTGACCCCCAACTCTAGTGGGCAAAGCTGTGCCCACAAAGCCAAGGCTACTCTATCCCACAGATGACTTAAGGACTTTTCAAGAGTAATTCCAACTGCCTGGGCTCCGTCTAGAACCTAAACATCATCCCCTACCTAACCCAAACTATCACCGACCCCACTGTACAGATGAGGAGAAGTTCAGTGACTGCCCTTGGTCACTTGGCAAATAGGTGCTAGAGGAGCGATCTGAACCCTGACCCTGTTCTCACCTCTGTGCCACATGGCCTGTCCTTCCGCAGAGAGACCCAGTCCCTCTCCAGTCTCCTCTCTCACGGTCCTCACCCACTCCCCGCTTTACACTGAGAATCAAGGCACACCCCACAATTTTTCTCACCCTTCCCTGCCCTGCTTTTGCTCCTGCCCCCCTAACTCAGACTTCACCCGCCCCTGGCCCCTCCTCCCCACTGACTCCCATGCTCAGAGCTTACAGACCACAGCCCGGGCTGTCAATCTGGATTCACAGCACCCAGTACAAGACCCAGCTCAGGCACAGCTTGGGCAATCTTTGTTGGGCTGAACTGAGCAAATGATAGCTCCCCCCATGTCCCAACTCTGTTCCTTTTCTCGGAGATTCAATTCCCTATTGGTATGTACCACTACCCAGGAATGCCTTGTCTGGGCCCGGTGGCTGAAGGGGAAGGACTCATGTATTCCATGAGTTTAGCCTATCTTACTGATGATGCCTGTTGGGCTCCTGGGGACAGAAATGAAACTGGCCTGACAAACCCAGAAAGACAAGTGCAGCCAGGCCCCAAACACTCAGGCTGGTAAGGATTTCCTCTGAGGCCTTACTCCAGCATCTACAAGCCGCCTTTGTTGAGAGGAGCACACAGTTCTGCTCCAAAAGGCCAGGCTCTCGAGCAGACCTGCTGTGGCGCAGCCAACATCAGGCACTTCTAAGGAGACCAGAGGTCACGATGACTTGACAGGCCCCACTGCGAACCAGGGGTCAGAAGCAGGCAAGTGCCCGCTGCCCAGCAGCAGCTCTCAGTTACTCCCGTTTCTTCCTCAAACTTTTGATCAGACGACAGGAAGTGACAAAACTGGCCCGTCTTGTCTTTTTCAAAATCCTCAGTATTCCAAAGAATGAATCAAACAGTGTCCTTCCCAATTCCCACGAACCCAGGGTAGGAAACCATTCTGAGACCAGAGGGGCACAGCAAGCAAGTGGGCGGGAAACACAAGTCAGGAACTTGCAGCTTACAAATGACCCTCTATATTTTTCCGTCTATCGGACCTTTTCATCTAGTTGTTCTGACTATAGATCCCTTTAAAGGTTTGCAGAATAATTATAACAGGGTTAAAGTTTCTCAGTACTTTAAAAAGTTACAATTTCCAATTCTGTAGATCATATATCTTAATCATTTCAAAAATAAAAATAAAGAAAAACTTACAAAGGTCAGCATTTAACAAAGTGTAAGTTATCTGTGAGATGTAATTTTCCTTCTGAGACTGAAGAAAAAAATGTGTGTGTTCAGAGAAAGATATTTCGGCTAGAGAAACGGAATATAAAACTTTAAACACTTTAGCAACCTCAAAATCACATCTTTAATCATAAAATTTGATTTTTTAATCAAAAGCTATTAACACCCCAAAAAGGAGAAAATAATATTAAATTTAAAATAAAGAAAAATGTATTTTTAACCGGTGACTTATTAAATATTCAACAATGTAAATACATTGTCCTATATAAAGTATAATATAAAATATATATATAAAATATAAAATATATATATAATTCTATCCTATTATTAATATGACCCATGTGCCGAGATACATCAGACCTCTGTGTGCCTTGGCGTCCTC